CCCCCCCCTTTTTGTGATCTCCTTGGGTGGAGAGACTGCGATGTTTTTGTAGATAACTTGGGATGCTCTGCTTTTTTTGCATCTGGCAGCCACTGCACTGTTCCAAGGCCTATAAAATTCGGACAACCCAGAGAGCTCAGAGCAGGCTTGGGGAGGGCAGAGGATTGTGGTACCCATGAGCAGATCAGGCCAAGCTGGCCCCTGGAAAGGAGCTTTCAAACCCCAAATGGCTGGAGAGACATTACCTGGCAGTGAGTCCCCTACAAATTCACTCTCCTGTCCCTGTTTGCATGCTTTTCTGATGAGTCGCTGCCTCACACACAAGGCATTGGTGAACTGGTTGGGGAAGGGATGAATCAACCTTAACCTTCATAGATTCATAGACGTTAGGCCTGGAAGGGACCTCGAAGATCGTCAAGTCCAGCCCCTGCCCCAGGGGCAGGAAGTTAGCTTGGGTCAAAGGACCCCAGCAAGATAAGCATCCAAGTGTTTCTTGAATAAGTCCGGAGTAGGTGCCTGGAGGGAGTCTATTCCAGGTCTTGGGGGCTCAGACCATAAAGAATTTTTTTCTTATGTCCAGTCTAAAACAGTCTTGTAGGAGTTAATAACCGTTGGTTCTTGCTTTTCCTTGGGGTGCTCTGGTGAACAGATGTTCCCCCAGATCCTGATGCATACCCCTTACGTAATTACAGGTAGCCACCGGGTCCCCCCTGAGCCTGCACTTTTCCAGACTGAAGAGTCCCATGGCTCTCAGCCTCTCAGGTAGCAGCAGGTAGGACCCAGAGTCCACCACATTGGGTGGGTCTACATGAGCCATTTACTGCGGAGTAGACTAATTAACTCCACAATAACCGTCTCAGCATCTATTAGGCTGGAGTAACTAATAAGCTCTGTAGCAGGGTAGTACTTGTAAAAACAAGTACTATCCTGCTGTGGAGTTTTTTACTCTGCAGCGGTGCATGTGTAGACAGAAAATGGCTGGCTGGGACACAAGGGTGCTTCAGCATGGAGGCCTGGGTGGCACCTAGCCCCATACTTGAGCACCCTTGTTCCCCAGCCAACCCCTTGCAGCTTGCCGAGCTGGGGAACAGAACAGAGATCAGTCTCCTTTGGAACCTGGGTCTTCCTTTGCAGCATTGCCAGGGGATCCAGCAGTGCTGGCCACCTCCTCATTGCATCTAGCTATATCTGTTTTAAAACATAACCCCACTGCTAGCATTGCCCCTTGCCTACACCCCAGAACTGCTCAAGACTCCCTGTCTCTGGGCCTGCTGACATGCACTATAGGCCAAGCCCAACCAGTGGCTGATTTGTTTAGAGAAGGAAGGAGGCTCAGCAAAACCAGTTTTAGGCTCTGAGCTCCGTGATGAGGGCTGCTCTGGTTTCTGCCATCTGAAGCAAGGGGCTGAGCTGCCTGAACTGTCCAGGGGGTCAGGGGAAAATACCCAAGCCCTGTCTGCCACAAATCCCCAGAGAATTAGGTGAAAATACCTGAGCACTGTCTATACTCTGGCTGCCACAGGTGGAGTGACACAGCTGGTAGCAACTGGGCTGCTGTCAGGCGTAAATTATGTAGCTCTTAGGCACAGTGGCAGTACCATACTCTGAGTGGGCCCTGTCAATGAACATTCAGTGTGATCATGGGTACATCTTCAGGCAGGAATAGCATGGATTTTTAGCAGACATTGCACATCCCCCAACTCTTTTCATCTGAGCTTGGTGGTACTTGATACTCAGACTGACTGTAGAAGTCTGTGGCTTAGGCTAGGGCCCAGGTGAGGGCTTCACTCAGGTTAGATCCAGTCCACTTTGCATTGAGAAGGCAGGACAAAGAATATGATTGCTGATAGTCCTCTAAGAGATATCTTTGTTTCCTCCGGTGTGCCCAGCACAGTAGACAGACTCCTGCACAATTCCCTGGGCAAGAACCATCATGCAGCTCCATTTAGTGCACCTGTTTAGGCCCGGAAGGACTTGGGGCATGTGTACAGGACTAACTGCAGTGCCCAGGAGGGTCTACTGACTCAGGCAGGGCTTTGCTCAACTTCAGGTGTTGATCACCTGAATTGGCTGACAGTGAAGACATGCCATGAGAGTGGCAGAATCAGGACTTACTGGGACTCCAAATGTGACCCCTGGCAGTACAGTACTAGTACTACTAAGAAGAAGGGGTGCTGGGACTTTCTTGCTAGGAAATTGCCCTTTGCTCTAGCAGAGAAGGACTCTCAATACCCCTACATATGCTGGCAAAGGGGTTCCATCTATTCAAGAAGCAAAAGCTCCCTCCTGAATCCATCAACTGCACATGCCATGGGGCAGAGGGCTGCGAACCTGTGACTCCCTGCTTCAGGAAAAGCAGGCTATTTTCATTCCTCTCTCAGCTAATTTCTCCAACATCTAAACATGGATTGAAAACAGAGACCCTCCCAGCTGTTATCTGGGAGGCTGCCTTCTCTCACCCCACCCTGCCGCTGAGACCCAGTGGTGATTAGTGGCTGAGCTGTGCTCAACAGAGCCTGACATGCAACCAGCCTAATTACAAGGCAGGGGCCTTTATTTTTTCCCTCCTTAAGTGTTCCCACATGGTGTCTGCAGCCTGGAAGGGCCCAGGGTTTTTTTATAAACTCGGGGTTAGTTTGTGGTTTCTGAATTTTGTTTACACAGCGCGGAACATCTGGGAACCAGGGAAAGGCTTTAAAATCCTCTTGTCTGACACATGTTAGCATGTGGGGGATGTCAGGGAGGGAGGAAGAATGCAACAGATGCTACACTAAAAAAGTAGGGGAAGGAATAACTGAACCTGCTGAGCAGAAGACAGGGCAGGGTAATACCTTAGAGACTAACTGTTTCAGAGAGGCATGAGCTTCCCTAGGCAACAGCCTTTGCCTATGAAAGCTCTTGTCTCTGAACCAGTCAGTCTCTAAGGTGCTACCCTGCTCTGCCTTCTTCCTGACTTCCAACTAACAGGGCTAACCACCTCTTTCTATTCATAAAACTGTTGACTGCAGATTGCTTAAGGGCAGGGGTGTCAAAGATATGGCCTGTGGGCTGGTTTTGGCCTGTAGAGACCTAGAATCTGGACTGTGGGTCTCGGACTGACCTTGCCCGCTTCTTGAAGCACATGGAGCTAGTCTGGTAAGTGAGGCTGGACTTGGCACCATGGGTGCTGCATGTGGCAGAGGCGGCCAGTTCAAGGTGT